ATGCATTTTAAAATGTAACATAAAGAGCGTCGTAGTATTCGTAGCATTTAAAACTCTGCAGACGCTATTTGAGAGAACGAGCGTCTATAGTATTACGAAAGTCCGCAGAGCGTTTTTTAAGAAGAAGCGCGATTATAGACTCTGTAGTTTTTCGAAAGTTCATCGACGGCTTGTTTCATGAGTGTTTTCTTTGGTTTGTGTAAACAGCTTGGGGCCGTTTGTGCTTGTTGCAGTAGTTTTTAAACTGGCCTGGACACATTGTGACATAAGCGCTTCTGTAGTATTTATTGTACTACAGCTTGTTCCGCTACTAATCACACTCGTCTATTTAGCCGCTCGACACAACACCCTGCTGCTGTCTGTAGCATTTAAAAACCTACAAACACTTTTATGTAACATGCGTCGGAAATAACATTTGGTACAGACGCGTGTTCAGATCATTTCAGACGTGTGTTTGCATTCACTCTTCAGACGCGTGTTTACATTCACTCAGACGCTAGTACATAAGACATGTCTGCATTAGTACCTTATTACAGACGCGCTTTGTAATAAGATTATAGACTATAATGTCTCTTAACGCGCGTATGTGTTTTTTTTTTACATAGTGTGCGTTGCATTTTTTTTATCGTTTGGATAGTTATCTACTCGTCGGATTAGTCTTCATGAGTGTTTTCTTTGGTTTGTGTAAATCCAGCTTGGGCCCGTTTGTGCTTGTTGGGTTCAAGTTGTCTGTAATAAATGGCCTGATTCTACTATGGGTAGATGAAGCCTGATTTTTATTCTTTATTAAAAAACAAATTATAGATAGTTTCATTGAATAAAATTGTTGATAGTAGTAAAAGATATTACTAGCAGTTTGTAAGCGTTACTCTGCTGGTAATAACATGGAGCAAAAAAGTTTGGCATGCATCAAACCAGATAACTACTGGCATAATGAAGGGCACAGAGACAGACAGGTAGTACAGCTTGTTCCGCTACTAATCACACTCGTCTATTTAGCCTGATCTACGAATCCTTCTTCCCTTCACCCTGCTGCTGCTTCAAGTGTGCGTGTGCGCCGCCGTCATCCTCATGGTCTCTGCCGAGGTAGTACCGCCTGAGCGCCCTGGGCAGGTAGAAGGGCAGCAGGAACGCGAAGAGGTTGAACCCCCAAAACGCCAGGTTGGCGGGCGCGAGCGCCCTGCCGGCCACCACCCGCCGCGGCGGCACGGGCGGGCCACGCCCGAGGTCGTCGCGCTCCTGCAGCTCCTCGCGCAGCCACTCGGACGCCGCGAACATCCGGCGCGCGCTGTACATCACGGGCACGGCGGCCCTGACGGGGAGCGAGAACGTGCCGGGCCACGCGGCGGCGATGCCCTCCGTGAACAACTGCGCGGAGAGGAGGAACGCGTGCGGGGCCGCGGCGGCGACACCCGCCGTGTCCCCGGCCCGGAGGCCGTCGAGGATGTAGAGCGCCGGGAGCGCGGCGCCGACGACGAAGCCCACCGTGGTGTGCACGGCGAGGGTGAGCCGCCCGCCGGCGCCCGGGAAGACGGGCGCGGCCGGGTTGGGCTTGCCTGGGCGCTGCGAGAAGGCGAGCCGGGCGAGGACGAGGAGGTAGGGGAGGAGGAGCACCGCGAAGGCGATCTCCGACAGCGGGACCGTGGTGGAGAAGGCCAGCACGGCCGCCGCGCCCAGCGTGTTGAGCTGCTTGATGGAGAAGAGGTAGTAGTGGTGGTGCGGGCGCGCCGTGGGCGAGGTGGGCGTCGGGTGCAGCGGCGGCGGGGGCGCGCCCATGGACGGCAGCGTGATGCCGCCCCCCGCCGTCGGGCCGACGCCGCCTGACATGACCTGGCGAGCTGAGGTGCTGAGAGCGTGAGCGGCGCGCCGCGCGCGGGCTTGGGCCGCTTGGCTGGATGCTGGAAGCGGTGGGTGACTGTTGAGCGAAGGAGGCGTTCGGGCTCGCGATAGCGGCGAAGTTTAGACGAAGGAGGCTGGCGCGGGAGCGGAGGACGTGTGGCGCGCCGCGGTGGCCGGGCAAGCGGCGGAGCGCCGCGTGGGCTGACGGCTGAGTGGGAGGGATTTGGGATCGATTATTTTACCGGCCTGGGAGAACAGATCAACAGCGCGGCGAGAGCCGATCTGCAAGGGGCCTGACGTGGGCACCTCCTTGAAATTAGGATGACACATGTTGAGAGTTGTGAGCTGCAGTCTGCAGAGCTCCACGCCGTCGCCTAAACAACTGACAAAGAGGCTACGTGTTTCTAGGCGTGTTTTGCTGTGGTTGGGCTCGCTAGCTTATTCTTTTTCTCTCATATAAATTCACTCTGTAGTTTCTCCTTTGGAGAGCCATCATTCAAATAAAATTTGCCCTTCAATAACTTTTATAACTTGTTTGACATTTTAAAGAACCAATTACATTCTCTATACATTTTGAAGAGAATTTTTCGCTAAAATCTCTATTTCTATTAGTATGAAAAGGCATTAAAGTTTTTTAAGAGTCTTTTAGAGTTGCTTCAAATGCTTTATATTGCCCGAGAAAATGTTGATGGCACATGACCCGCTTCCATCGGAAACAAGGAGCTCGTCTGCTCTTGTAGGTTGCTAGGTTTCCTAAGGAACTTTAGTTGGTCGTTTCCAACTTTTTTTGGAAGCTCTATCAAATGTTAAGAGCCAATTTGACAGGACTGGGTCTCTTTCTAAAAACGACTTCAGCTTCAGTTTCTCTTGTGAAGCAACTTAGGTGAAATTAAAAGCCCACCGTGGTGTGCACGGCGAGGGTGAGCCGCCCGCCGGCGCCCGGGAAGACGGGCGCGGCCGGGTTGGCTTGCCTGGGCGCTTAGGGGAGGAGGAGCACCGCGAAGGCGATCTCCGACAGCGGGACCGTGGTGGAGAAGGCCAGCACGGCCGCCGCGCCCAGCGTGTTGAGCTGCTTGATTAGTAGTGGTGGTGCGGGCGCGCCGTGGTTTCGCGCCCATGGACGGCAGCGTGATGCTGCCCCCGCCGTCGGGACGACGCCGCCTGACATGACCTGGCGAGCTAGGTACTGAGCGTGAGCGGCGCGCGGGCTTGGGCCGCTTGGCTTGCTGGAAGCGGTGGCTGACTGTTGAGCGAAGGAGGCGTTCGGGCTTGTTGCTGAGGAGGACGTGTGGCGCGCCGCGGTGGCCGGGCAAGCGGCGGAGCGCCGCGTGGGCTGACGGCTGAGTGGGAGGGATTTGGGATCGATTATTTTACCGGCCTGAGAAAGCTCAACAGCGCGGCGAGAGGATGAAACCAATTAGGATGACACAAACAAGTCTGCAGAGATCCACGCCGTCGCCTAAACAACTGACAAATTTGCTAGCTTATTATTTTTCTCTCATATAAAAGTCGTTTTCCTCGGAAAAGATTTAACAAAAATAGCTTTAGTGATAGTTTAATAAAAATTTGTGTAAAATTTATGAGGACAAGTCAAGAGAAGCCATAATTTTGCAGCTCTAGTTCTTTAGTTAAAAATCGGTTCTAGCTCTTTTAGGTTCTTTGCAAGAAGCCTTTTTACATAGTTGTTTGGCACGGCTCCGTAGCAAAAGCTGCAAAAGACTAGAGCTAGAGTCAAAGCTGTGCCAAAAAAGACACTAACTTAAAATGACTTCGTGAGAAAGCTCTACAAAGGTTTTTTTTTTAATTACATAGATGATTGGACGAAGCCACGTAAACATGGATTCTCTAGCTTCCTAGTGAAGCTAGTTACAAAGCTCTAGAAGAGACCAAAAAAAAAACTATAGATGATTTCGTATTTAAAAAATTCACTAGTTACAAAGCTCTAGAAGAGAAAAACGGTTTTTCCTTACTGGATGATTTTGTATTTAAAAAGAAGTGTGTCCATTATCCTTTCTAGGTGGTACATTTGGTTATTCATTGGCTCCCCATTTTGAATTATCGGTTACAATTTTTTTTCTCCTGGACACTTAGATGGTGATCTAATTTTAGGATTGATAGTCCTTAGAGTGTCAGCCTCTCTTTATTTTGTTTAGGTTGTGTGTTTTATGCAGAGGCCAGATGTGAGTTCATGATTATTATATCAACCCGATGTAATAATTGTGATCTTTATTTACTTATTAAAAAAAACTTCTCCACCTTTCTGGTGAAGCCAGTTAGGGAAAAACTGTCAGACATAGCCAGGGCGCATTTGGTTGTGTACTCCAACTTGCCGCACTACGCTGCAGCTTCAGCGCCCAAGTTCCGGCATGCTTTTGGTTCCTTTCCAAACTTGCGACATCCCAGTCTAGCCATCGCGTTTTAGTTCAATTTGTGCACCAAAAGCTGCTGCACTTGCGGCGGACGATTTGGTCGCTGCAGTTTTGGTGCGGACACAACTGCGGTGTGGTATGCAGCGGCACCAACCAAACACGCCTAAGTGTTCAGTTCCCATTTGGTATGGCTTCCTCTCTAACCTAAAAGCAAAATTAGGTTACCCCAAGACAACTAGCGACACAAGATTAGCATTGCTATATTCATCATGAAAAATATTTGTATAATGCAATAATTACTTTCATTTAAGCTAATATATTATTAGGGAAAGCAAGAACTTTTATTTCCGATGGGAGGGTGGAGCTAGATTCACATTAAATAGAGTATTTATAGGGCGCACTTTAATTAGAGTTGTGCATGGGCGATACGCACCTGGAACTTCGCCTCTCCGGCTCACTACCAATTAACGAGTAGCTAGCATGAGATCAGGTGTATTGGTTCCAGCAAACTGAAGGTTATAACAATTAACAAAGACACATCGACAAAATAATCCTACAAGCTCCAGTAATGTCATTTCGGAAAGACAAATAATCCTACAAGCTCCAGTAATATCATTTCGGAAAGGACAAAGCACAGGGCAGATGCAAACTATCCCAAGTCCCAACGCGAAGCCTTACCACGAGTCACAAACGTATCGCCAGCGTCCCAGCAATCTCAGCCAAATAAATCACCCGCTAGAATGCGCCTGGATGATACCTATTATGATACAAAGATACCTATGATACAAAAGGTTACACATCCATTTGTTGCAGCAGAGCCTTCCAGTACTTGGGGCAGGACGGGTTCAGGTGAATCGCCCGAAGCAACCACAACTCGGGGCTCTGCGTCGTCTCCACCAGCTGGTTCTGCTGAGAAGCCGCTGCAGACGACTGCCTCGCCAGCAGATGCATTTGGAAGTACACCTCCGCAGGCCTCAGTTCTGCACAACCAAACCGGGGGAAAAAAAAAAGAAAGAAAAGGCATTGAGACTGAAACCAAACAGCTGACTGAAAACCCAATAGTATTCATTCGAAGGCTGGCTGGTTCAATTCGTACCTGGGGGCCATGAGAACCATTCCAGGCGAAGGTTTTTCTCCCACTTGGTTTTGGAGCCAAGGCTGCCCTCAGCTTGAGCCAGTAGCAGTGACACGAGAGGTAATGAAGCATGTGATTTCTGTTGGGCCTTTCTGAGGCTGGAAGCTGCACGAGATATAAATTGAGGAGCTACAAACCTCCGGGCAATTTCCATACAGGTTGCACCTATCAGTGATGTTTCATTCAGTACAAAATCAAATTACATAAAACAGGAATATTTCATAATTAGTAATTAATCAGGCCTATTATAGACTAGTACTCTCAGACCGTGCAGGGAAACAGTCTAAAATGAGAAGCAGCGTTCTTCACACGGCGTCCTTAAAAGATTTGATCAATTTAATTCCACAAAATAAATTATCAAGAAAGTACCATCCAAGCACATTTTTCCTTAATTCATTATTAGCATAATGAACAGTTAGTACCATTCAATAACCAGTGCAAGGAATGTACTACATATCAACATGAATAAGACTGGCAGAAAGTTTGTTGATCTGATAAGAACCCAGTTTATTCCTGGATTCTACTGGAGAGAAGAAAACAACCAAGTTTATTCCTGAATTCTACTGGAGGGAAGAAAGCAACCAAGTTTATTCCTGGATTCTACTGGAGAGAAGAAAACAACCAAGTTTATTCGTGGATTCTACTGGAGGGAAGAAAGCAACCAAGTTTATTCCTGGATTCTACTAGAGAGAAGAAAACAACCAGGTTCACGGTGCAACTTCATACCATAAACAGCAAAGGGTTTTAAAGAATCCTTGACGACTAATGAGCTATGTGAGAAGAAAGCGGCTAACCATTAAGGAACAAGATGCAGCTATCCGGATCTACTTGAGTGCATGCCTGAGCAAGAGCTTTTTCAGCGCTTTCAAAGTTTCCATCCCACAGAAAGCACTGAGCACACGCCAGATTGAAAAGGGATGCCCATTTCGATGAGTCGCTACCATTTCTTTTAACGCATTCACGCAGATTTATATCTATTTCATCAGAAGAGCCCTCCAATGAACATGCAGATTCAAGTTGCTTCAGCATTACCCAGCCAATCTCAGTATTTGTATGGTTTCTCAAGCATTCCATGTACTCATTCCTGGAGTTCAAAAGATCCCCTTGCACCGCATAGGCCCGACACAGTTGCAAGTGTGCAAAAAAAGTATCCACACGGCTTGATGGGGTGGTTCTTAGGGCTTCTTTAGCTTGGGCAATGCAATTTTCATAGTCTAAAGATTGCAAACAGACCTCCGATGACAAAAGAAGTAGCAAGAACACCTCATACTGCATAGCTTCTTTCTCATGTGGATTGCTAATATTGGACAACACTTGCATAATGAGCTTCTTCAGAATAACACAGATATGTTTGGGGTACTTCTCTTCCCGTGCTTTTTGGAAAATGGCAAGCACAAGCAGGTAGCGTGCATCTTGGTTCCATGGTTCACAATGAACCCACCTTGAGAGGGCAAAAAAGAACATGAATAGCTCTCCTACCAAAGGCATACATTGTCAATGCAACAAGTAGAAGATATACCTTTGCAGGTGGTGTATTGCATCAGGTCCACTTAGGTACTGGTGTTCACATGTTGCGAAAGAGAACTTTGTGTAAGTGGGGCAGGTAGCATAGCAAGAAACCATTGCACAGGCTTGAACATGATGTGGTGATCTTAGGCCCAAACTGGATGTGTGTCCATGTGATGACAGAGAGGTAACCCTTATTGCTTTATGAGAAGCCATCCAATCTCCACTCCACAGCAGCAGGGATCCAAGTTGGTTTCTGCAGCATGAAGAAAAGAGAAAATGGTGAGCAATATTTTGACTCACCTCAAGTTTAGTAACCTTTTGAACACCTGATATGACCATTCCAAGCAAGAAAATTACCTCACTAAACTGCAGTCCGGATACATGTGCAGAACTTTTTTCAGGTAAGACAAACTACCATCAACCTTCAGAGGCTTGTCAAATTCCGCACCAATCTAAAAGGATATTTTTTATATATGTTAGTACATCAAGCATGTACTCAAAAGTCAAAATAAACTAGTTTTCCATAGAAACATAGAACACCAGTATTTTAGAATACTTACAGCCTTCCCAAGAGCAATATTCGAGTGTACTTCACTCATCACTTCATAAGCTGTACGCTTAGGAGGCATATTCAACTGAGGCAGCTGGAGACGCTTGGTTGGATGCAAAGCATCCAATGCGGAGATAATGAATTTCAACTGTGAGTTGTAATTGAGCTGACCAGGAAGCTTTTGAATGATGGCAGCTGCAGAGTCCTTCCCAGAAATTCCATATGTCAAGGTGCATATGAATCCCCAAGCTGCAGTTGCACTCTCCGCCTTTATACCACTTAAATTTTCAGCCAAGCTTCTAGATACAGAAAGAGCTTCCTTGCTTTGTCCAATTTTCCACAATGCCAGAGCATATATCTGCAATCCATCAACACTCAACAGTCCTAGAAAATTTAGGATTACTTGTTAGTTTATATGTTATATAGCATGTAGAAAATATTGTGAAAGGATCTACTGTCGATGCTATCTGGCAAATTAGGGAACGGAACCCTTCCATTGCTTAAGTGGAATAAAAACAATATACCTTGATATCTCAGCTCTTCACACTCCCGCGCTGCATCAGTTGCAAGACCAGCCTGCAATTAGTGTGATGATTAGAATCTCAGATGTATCATCCAAAACACCATGATTTTAGCTGCTTAGTGTGTTTAACTTCATCAAACCAGATGTAAAGTAACCATTAACACTCTTACCTTGCATAGTGCACGGCAAGATTCACTGAAACATCAGCAAAAGCTTGTCTATTGTCTGACTTGGAATTGTACATCATGCCTAAAGCAAATCTCGCTTGCAAGTAAAATGTGATTGCAGACTGGAAATCTAATCGCACTTCAGAAATCAAGCCATTTAAATTGTGAGACTCTGGGTAATGAGGTGCTCGCTGAACAGCCTGTCTTACAGCCATCAATACCTACATAATCGAATCAGTATAAAGAAATTGATTTGTTAAGCATAGGCACTAAGGTTTTAGGTAGCAGATTAAGCAATAGAAATATCTTTATGACTTAGCGAATCATCATGTATCTCTTAGTGTCAACCAGTTAAATAATCTAGAATATAAGAATGAAGGCCAACTAAAAAAATTGCCATCGAGTTGAATAGACCATTGCCACCTAAAAGGGCCTCAGCCATGAATATAAAACTGGATATATACCTGAGGTGAAAGAAGATCACTAGAACGGGCAGCAATTGTTCCAAGACCAATCTGGAACTCTGGCAGCTAATGCAAGAACATAATAGAATGAAATCAGGGCTAGCTTGGAGAAGAAAAAACAGAAAATTGTTAAACTAAAAAAATTGCACTTACAGGTAGGATCTGCACAGCCCTCAAGCAGCTTTCAAAAGATTCATTTACAGGACTGCTCCTTTAAAATCACATGAAAATAGAAAAAAACAGCTTGAGTAACTAATTTTTCAGAGCACAGCATAGGAACCTTTTCCATGAAATGAGAGGTGAGGGGTACCCAGATTGGTGATAATTTTCCGCCGACATTCCAGCCCATGGCAAGGCCAACGAAGGATCAATGCTTCGAGCTCGATCAAATGCTTGTTTTGCCAATTGCTTATCACCAGACTGCCTGTAAATCTGAAGGCCAAACTATTAGATACCCCCTACTAGTAGCAGATATAATTCAGCTGTTGCTTTAAGAGCAGTACCTTTCCAAGGCATGCCCAAGCTTCAGACAATGACATATCGAGATGAAGTGCCCTAATAAAAGAATGCTGCTTCAAAGCCAGATAACTTGACATTGAACCCAAAGTAACCCAAAAATCCTTATTAACTGGTTCCAACATCAAGGCACCCAGTGACATTTTCTCTGGCAGCTCCCTGTTGCACAAAAAGGAAAAAATATAATACTCTTAGACAACTAACAAAACACCATCTGAAAAGTAATATGGTATTAGCCTATGCAACAAAGAAACCTACCAAACATTGGGGTTGAGTATGTTGTTGTCATCCATGGAACAAATTAGATCAAGACAAATAGCCATATCATTGTGAACATTAGCTTCCCAGGGAGTAAGATGCAAAGCACGCTGATATGAGAGTTTTGCACCATTTGCTGCTGACAAACATGTATTTCTCCACTCTTGAACAGAATCTTTGAACATCTGTGCATCCATGCCCCTTTTGGTCTTCCCATCCACCCATGGAAAGCATCTTGCAAGTGCGAGCTGACACCAAGCAGGCAAGGTATATGGTAGAATATAATATTATAACTCTTCACATTATAAGTAGATGACAAGCAGACTTAAATGATGAAAAATCAAATACCTGAACATCTCCATGCAATTTCCAGACGCATGAAAGGTTTCCAGTCAAAGAAGTACAAATTCTGGAAGCTTCTGAAGCTTCCTATGAGAAAACAATCTATATGGTGAAGCTATACAGCTATTGGCCTATTCAATGATATTTAAAAAGCTAGTATCAGATCAAAATACCTTCAAGAGACTAGCAGCCCAACCAAAGGCCCCAGTAGTTACACAATTCCTTGCCCATGCAAGCAATGCAGAAGCAAGGCCAAAGTATGCCGAATGATTACATGGAGCCATTTCCAAAGCAGAACGAAACTGCTCTACTCCCTGGTGTTGTGTATTTAGAGAGAAATTAAATAGTATTAACAATGAAAGAGATAAGGGCTAAATAGATTTTTGAATGGATGCACTGTTAGATTAGCATTGGCTGATTAAATCATGTATACCAGCAGAACAACAGATAGTTACAAAAGCAAGCAGGAAACTTCCTACCTTTCTAAAGTAACCAAGCATTAACTGGATGTTTCCACTTTCTATCAATGCAAAGACCCTGGAACTATCAAGTTCAATAGCTCGTCCATATGACTGCCGGCAAAAACTGAATTAAGCACATTGAGAAGGCTCAATACAGCGCACTGCAACAGTTATTAAGTATGCTCAAAACTGAAAACTGCAAACCTTTACTGCTGCAGTGAACATGCCCAAACGGTGGTATGCCAGACCAAGTGCCTGTAGCCATAAATATGGAATGTTTCAATTCAATAACTGATAACTTGAAAACACTCACATATAAGTTACACAAAGAACCTTGGCAAGAGCAAACTGATGGAGGGGAAAAAGCACCCACCTCCCATAAATCTGCACATGTTGGGTAACCTCGTATTGCATGCTGAAGGCTTTGTATAGCCTCTGACCATTTCCTCTGATGAACCTAACCTTTCACCAACTCATGTCAATACACACTATATACAAATTTGTAATGCCTTATCACAAACAAAAGCAAATTGCACACCTAAAATATTAGCAGTAGTATCTCCTTCCAACAGAAAAACTTTTGCAATTTTTAAAGAAAATAAGCGATCAACTTCTCAAGTACAAGTTATAATAAGAGATATTGCTCCAGGCATGTAACCTTTCAAATATTTTCAAGACCAGCACAATCCAGATTTTAACTTAATAATGCTATACTAATGGTGAATGACCAACTGAGTCATGTTATTCTGCACAATCTAATTTCATCTGTCAGCTAATCTAAAAGGATAGCCACAGAATTGAGTTATTAAAAGGCAATAACATTAACAACTTAACATAAAGGTTTTGTGGGGTGGTGATATCAATGCCATAATGAATGGAAGTGAACACTGCCTCTGTATAAACTACAAGAAACATCAATGACCAATGGATGAAATTGCTATAAGATTTAAACATTGAAGGGGCTAGATTAGGTTAAATTTCAACGATTTTCATCATTCTGCATAACCTTGTTAAATCTAACTAATTACTGCAAACCAATGTTGTCCTTAACCAATATCATTGGGTTTAGGCTTGGACAGGTTTGGACCTGTAGATTCTGACCCAATGCAAAATGAAGCCGTAAGATTCATTAACATAACACATCTAGTCAGGAGCTTTGTTAATGACACATACTATTGGAATTCTTACTTCAACAGATAGTCCATTGAAGAAATTGCTATACAAGTTACCTGTAAGTAGCCAAGTCTCCGAAAAGCCCAGAACGCACGCGGTGACTTGCCAGCTGCCTCCTTGCACACAGCAAGCTCCAAACTCTCCTTCCCCTCAACATCTAGCACGTCACAGAGCGTCTCCTGCACCATACCCCAGAAATAAAGGGGGAAAACACATTAGAACCCAGCACAAGTAAACGGATGAATACATTGGGCATATGAATATACACATACCCCAGCCTCAGCGTCATCAGGGTTGAGGGTCACCGCACGCTGGTAGCACTTGGCCGCTCGTTGATTGTCTCCACCGCGTGCGTAGTGGTGGCCAAGGAATCTGAAGGGGACGCCATCGTTGGGGTTCAGCTTGGCCGCCGCGAGAAAATGCTCCGACGCTGCCGTGCGAAGCTTCCGCGCCTCTTCCCCGTCACCATCCTGCTCTGCCTCGGCGCGGTCCCATAGGAAGACGCCCTGCACGCACACGACCAACCAGCAGGTGATTAGGCGCAACGGAGAAGCGCGGGCGCGACCACGGGCTCAATGCAGTGGACAACGAAACCTACAAGGTTGTAGTGGTGGAGCGGGCTGGAGGGTTCGGCGGCGAGGGTTTGCTCCAGTTGCCTGCGGAGGTTGGTCTCCGCCGCCTGCGAGGGATAGAAGACCAGGTCAGTAAGAAGTGAGGCGAGGGGGGCGGGAGAGTGTGAGAGAGATATAGCGGAGTACGGTTTCGGGCATGTCGTCGGCGAGGTAGCGCGGCGGGAGATGGTGGCGGCGGCGGCCGGCGAAACGGAGCGTGGAGGAAAGGGGCCGAACCGCCGAAGCGACGGAAGGGCGATAAATTGGCTGTTGTCGAGTCTCGACTCCGCTAGCGCTAGGGGAGCCACTACCAGTTTGGTTCCTCTTGTTATCACCGCAATGTGCTAAAAACAGTCTATAGAGATTAAATTATAATAATTGTGTCCTACATAAATTATCTACGCAAAATCGTCAAAGAAGAGATATAACGGGGCACCAGGCATCGAAAAGGAACGTGTGTAGCCAGCTCAAGAGGGAACGGGTGAATTCGGCAGCTAAAACTTAATATAGGGCTTTTGCTTGATGTCATGCTAAATAAACAAAACTAATTAGCAAGATGTGTACTTAAAGTTTATCTAGTATTCTCTATTTATGCGTACCTACTAAAACTTTTGCAATCTAAAACTAAATAAATTTATTAACTAGTCTAATATAATATAAGAACGATAAAGACGCATAATACAAGCACATATAGATAGTGAAGAGCTCAAGTAAGGGGTATAAATTTTCCAGATAAGATGATGTACCCCTTGCGTCCATCATCAAACACAATCTTTAATCCATGTTAGAGCTCTGCTGAAGTACGCTCCGAGTCATAGTGTTGAGTTTGCCACAAATCTCTCACCAACCAAGACAATTGTGTAATAAACCACTAAGGCTCATTACCGTCACTCGACTCTTTTTTTAGATGGGTCACTAGACTCTTCTAGTCACCTTGGCGCTATCCACTATAGAGTTTTCCACTAAGAAAGAGTCTCCTCATCCCCACACACAAAGTTAACGTTTTGTATAGTGTGTCTACTTGGGTGTAATAGGAGAACTATAGGTGTAGTGTTAGTCAGGTTCTTTTCCTTTTCCTCTTCTTAATATAGTGGTATAAGTTACACAAGTCTCTCTAAAATAAATTAAGGGGCTGAGAAAAAATCAGCTTCCTTGCTTAACAAAATCATTTTCTCTATAAAATTTTATCATAGAGAATCGCTTCAGTTATCATAGAGAATCACTTTAGTTATCATAGAGAATCACTTCTCGATCCACTTCCTCACTGACAAAGCAACCACAAACAGTATTTTTGGGCTGAATCCAGATAAAGCTCTGTCAAACAAATTTCATGATTCTCTGAAATAAACTTAGAGGCTGAGAGCTAGAAAAGTAGCTTCTTGATTCACTCTACTCATAGAATCACTCTTTATTTAGTTATGTAGTGTTGGGGTAAAGATATGTAGTGTTTAGGGGGTGTAAATGCACCCCTAAAAATGTAAAAAAAAAAGTGATTTTGACTACAGCATATATGGATCCTTATGATACAAGTTTATCCACCCACAAAGCAAATACATCCGCTCTAATTATTTTAGCTTCACCATTTCTTTTGGCAATTAAATCTCTTTTCTCATAGAAATATTTTCGCATGCCACAGGGAATCAAGAGTAGAAGGAACTCTGCTACAAATACCCATAGACAGTCGAAATAAGGAGAAACTCTACAAAATATACCTTTAATCACAATAAGACCTTTTTGAGTCAATTGATGTTGATTTCACTCAATCCTGTAATATGTGTGCACATGGACTTGGTCGTACCTGTTTCTTTTTGATAAATATAAAGAACTTCCTCGCGTTAGTTTTAAGTTGGAACTGGGCTTATCCACTTTTAGAGTTTGTATAACATTTCCGTGGTTCACTAGTTCACGGATCATTATCCCACTGACCCAAATTGGCGAGGGCCTGTTTGGTAAGGCTCCTCCTCAGCTCCGGCTTTACTCCTCCGAAGGAGCCTTGCCAAACATTTTGTTGGATGAGCCGTTTTTCAGTGAAAAACAGAGGAGCCGGAGCCGTTTTGAAGGAGTCACAATTTATGGCTTCTCCAAAACAGCTCTAGCTCCTTCGGAGGAGCCATACCAAAAACCCCCTAAATAAAGCTCCGTTTGGCAGGGCGTCACTTCACTAGTGAAGCCATTTTTTTAGTTTCAGCTCTACGAACATCTCAATCGGTGGAGCTGAAGCCGTTTTGATAAATCGTTTGGCAAAACGGCTTCTCTGTTGAAAGGTCCTAATGGCTAGAGAGGGTGAATAGCCTATTTAAAAATTTCTATAACAACACTTAGCAAACCGGTTAGACAAATATGAGGCAAAGCGAATGTTATGCTAGCCTACTAAAAATGCAAGCCACCTACCACAATTCTAGTTGCTATTGTCTCTAGGCATACAAGGCTAAGTCACTACTCTAAGTTAGTGAGCTCTCAAAGATTAACTAAAGCGCCTCACTAACCATACTAGACCGACACTTGCTTGCCCTGAAAACTAGTTACACTAAAGGGCCAAGCTACACTAAGAAAGGTAAATACACAGGAAAGATGGAGTGTTATACCGTCGTGTAGAGTAATGAGCTAATCACCAATGGAGCCAATCAATCACAAAGAATGAATGCCAATGAAGACCAATCACCTCGGAATCAAATGATGACACAATGATTTTTTACCGAGGTTCACTTGCTTGCCGGCAAGCTAGTTCTTATTATGGCGATTCACTCATTTAGAGGTTCACGCGCTAATTGGCATCACACGCCAAACCCTCAATAGGGTGCCACACAACCAACACAAGATGATGATCACACAAGCCACGAGCAATCCACTAGAGTATCTTTTGGCTCTCCACCGGAAAAAGGTCAAGAACCTCTTACAATCACCATGATCGAAGCCGGAGACAATCACCAACCTCCGCTCGACGATCCTCGCTGCTCTAAGCCATCTAGGTGGCGGCAACCACCAAGAGTAACAAACAAATCCCGCAGCGAAACACAAACACCAAGTGCCTCTAGATGCAAACACTCAAGTAACGCAATTTGATTCTCTCCCAATCTCACAAAGATGATGAATCAATGATGGAGATGAGTGGGAGGGCTTTGGCTAGGCTCACAAGGTTGCTATGTCAATGCAAATGGCCAAAAGAGTGAGCTTGAGCTGGCCAAGGGGCTTAAATAGATGCTCCCACGAAATAGAGCCGTTGGCCCCCTACACCTTAGTGTCCTCGGGGTGACCGGATGCGCCGATCAAGATGACCGGACGCGCGGCACCCCAGCGTCCGGTCGTGGATCATCATCCACGTGTCCCCATTCAAACCATGGCCACCCGATCTCCAGTGGCCAGATCGCTCCCGCGCTTGCGTTAAAGAAGGACCGGACGCACCGATCAAGAGACCGCGCGTGCTGCAACCAACGACCGGACGCACTATCGATCCTAAATCTGATCACACTCGCTAAGTGTCTTGATCACCAAACTAAAAAACTTCTATCATGTTTCACCTTTGCCTTGAGCTTTTTGTTTTTCTCTTTCTTCTTTTCCAAGCCAAGCACTTGATCATCATGATCACCACACCATCATCATGATCTTCACCATTGCTCCGCCACTTGGAATAGTGCTACCTATCTCATGATCACTTAGATAAACTAGGTTAGCACTTATGGTTTCATCAATTCACCAAAAATAAATGAGAGTTTTCAATCTTTCCCTTTTTGGTAATTGATGATAACCCTTTCACAAAGATATGAATTGAAATTCAATTGAGTTCATATTGCTTGCCCAAGTATATTTACCATGTGTAAAAAAATATGGACATGTTTTATGAACCCCAATTGGTAGCATTAGCTCCCCTACATATGTGCTAAAAGTTTGGATTGAAGCTTGCACATATGCATGGGTTAGAGTTTTGGAAAGTAAAGTCTACCAAATGATGATAAGCTATAAGAGATGGACCTTGAAGCGTGATACCAATCGGAGTGTGTAGGGTCGAGATGGCGGACTAAAGTGGGGTGAATAGTCCTTTCTAAAATTAAACGTGTCGGCTAATCGAGATAAATGCGGAATTAAAACTAACAGTCTAGCCAAGACTACACCCCTCTATCTAAGTTCGCAAGCCCCTTATAAAGATCCTAATTAGGCGACAAAGATGCCGGGCTAGTTAGAGCTCACTTAATCAATTCTAGTAGCAAAAGCACAAAGCTCCTATGCTCACTAACAATGCTCAATAACAAGGCTACATAAGCCAAATTAGAGAGCTCAAATCACTTAGCTACACAAACTAAGAAAGTGACTAATAAGGTTACTCAAACCAAATTAGCCACGCAAGAGAGCTACTTCTATACTACACAAGCAAGAAGGTAACTAGCAAACTACATAAGTCAACTAATTACAAGAGCAACTACACAAGCACAATATATGAAATGTAAATACAAGCTTGTGTGTAGGGGATGCAAACCAACAGAAAGACAAGGATGACACGATGATTTTATCCCGAGGTTCACGTGCTTGCCAACACGCTAGTCCCCATTGTGTCGACCGCTCACTTGGTGGTTCGGCGGCTAATTGGCATCACCCGCCAAGCTCACACGTCGGGCACCACAAGAATCTACCCCGAAAGTGAGGTAGCTCAATGACACGCTCAACTAAAGTTGCTCTTCGTGATCCCCACGGAGTGAGCACAATCCCCCTCACAAATCCTCCTCTAGAGCACCATACAATCTTCTCGCATGCTTCAACGGAGTCACAAGCCACCAAGCCATCTAGGAGGTGGCAACCTCCAAGAGTAACAAGCACCACCGGCTTACAACTCGAACACCTAGTGCCACTCGATCCAACCTCACGATGCAATCGTACTAGAATCGCTCACTCACTCAATCAAATGAACACTATCAAGCTAGAGTGAGTTAGAGGGCTCCCAAGCACCACCACATAAGCCACCAAGGCTCTAGTGTGCTCAGCAAACGGCCCAAGGCCGGCCACCACATCTATTTATAGCCCCAAGGGCTAAAAGAGCCGTTGCCCCTTCACTGGGCAAAACACGCACTGACCGGACTCACAGGTCATAACGACCGAACGCGCAGGTCACAGAATCCGGTGGCTAGGATGACGCCACACGTCCCCTCCTTTCGAAGCCGACCATTGGG